AGAGCTTCGAAAATTTGCTAGAAATAAACGTAATGAAGTTTTTAAAAATGATAATAATGAAATTTTTGAAAATAAAAGTTTAACAAATGAGAACTTAAAAAATAAAAGTTTAATAAAAAGATTATTCAAATTTTCTAAAATCAAAAAACATGAAATTGATTTCAATAATAATGATGATGACAGCAGCAGTGGTGGTAATAGTGCTTCGCAACAAGCACACAAATCACATCCAGACGCATATCATACAAGTAGAATATTGGATGAAGTGATTGCTAAATCTAAGAGCTTTAAAAGTTATACAAGTAATGATAATTCGTTAAATAATCTTGATTTTGACTCTTTTCTCTAAATGTTAACAAAGGTGAATAAAAATTTCATTATTAATTAATTGGAAATTACTATCCATTGATTATTACTAACTAATCAATAAACATTAAATTCTAGTATTCATTATCTTTTTATTTATCTTTTTTATTTTATCCTTATTTGTTTCTTTAAAGCTAAATTATAATAATGTTTTGAAATAATAAATTTTTTGACTCTTGTTAAATTGTGGTATCATTTCAGTTGATTAAGAATTATGGTAATTCGGTGCCTGTGAATTAACCAGTTTACAAATTTACTTTAGTTTCCTCTCTTTTGCACCCGGACGAGTCTGTGAGCGCACACTCAATGCCGCCAGATAATTATAAATAAGTAAAGATGAACTTTTACAAAGCTCAAGGCTTCTATAAAGTTCCTTTTATTCACTTGTGATCGATTTATTCGTTTACATTTATTGACCGATTGCAAACTCGCTTTGGTTTACTTGCAAAAAAAGCTTAAGTAGCTTGTTTAACGGACTAACATTTACAGACTAACTACAAGTATTTCCGATTAACCTTTGTACGATACTTTATTAACACCCATTAGCTAACCAACTTTAGTCTTAACCTTTGCTTGCTCACTAAAGCAAATTACGTTACTAATCATGTTATTATTAACGTTTAATAAAAATGATGATTTTTATCATTGTTTTTATTTTATCAAAACGTTAACTATCTATTATTTTCCTTTGCGAGGACCAGAAGTTATCCTTCGTTAATCACTGCAATAAGGAAGAATAAGGAAAATTAAAGGCTTATTATTGCAAAGTAACTTGTATTATATAAAAAGCTTTTGCGTAAAATTTTCATTTTGATAATAAATTATACACTAAAATTAGTTGACTCTGGAACATAAAGTACTGATGATTTTTGATTTAATTTGACGTAATAGTTTTACAACTTTGGTAACATTTCGTCAAACAACATTATCACTTTCAATATTATCACCTCTGAGTGTCATATCATTAGTTACTTCATTTGCATCAAGCAGTTCATCTTCATTATCATTGCCGACAGATTCTTGATTATGGGAACTGGAATGTGATTTCTTTTATAAAGGTTTCCATATTTATTAATTTCCAACTGTTTTTTTCTTTTGAAATAATTCACTCCTCAATCGACACATCCCAAGAACTTTTTCATGCTTTTAATAAATAGATTAGATCTTTAATTTTTATTAATTAATCATTTTATAATAAAACTTAAAGTTGAAAAACTATTTTTTTTACATATATAAAGACAATTCCCTTTTTTTGAATGTATAAACCCATATTGATCAGAATCTTTCAACAAAGGCAGAATTTATACAAATTCCATATGCAAGTGAAGAGTTGATCTTTACAATTCAGGTGCTTCGCTTTTTGCTAAATCCCAAAATCCACTACTTCACAATCAAGTTGACTAAATGTTCTCATATCAAAAGTATAAGCTTTCTTTTGATACAATAAATATTCCCACAAAATTCTGATTGGTGGTGCATCAAACCAAGCCTGATAAAAATAAGTACATGAAAGATTGTTTATATTATTTTTAAAAAATGAAATTCTCTATTATGGACGAAAGACTAATGATAAAAATAAGTGGTTGTTACATCTTTTTCAATACAGTTGATACCCATATTTTATATACATAAATAAATAAATTTTTTTTAAACAAATGAATTGATCTCTATCTCTTTGTCATATAATAAATTGGCAAAAGTTTATTTGGTTTATTTAAATGACCAACCCAAATGATTAATGACCATCAATGACCTAGTCATTTGGGTCATTTGTCATCACTGCTTATATGGACTGATTCTTCAGACATGCAACACATTTCCAACCATTTACTGGCAACATTGATTGTGAAAATGGACAACATACCTTTCTTCCAAAAGCTCTTTTGTTTTTAGATATCCAAGTTTCATTGATGGAGTCCTTTGCTAGTCTGTTCAACTTCTTGTGGTCCTGGACTTGTTTATCAGTGGAAGATCCTGGATGGCCCATTTCTAGATATCCCACTTCAACTTTTTTATTATTTATGTTCGCAACAGCCATATAATCTGGATGATTTGCTTGTTTATGTGACCCCTTTCATTCAGCTTGCTTCATCACCCCATATCCCCAAATATTAAAGCCCACAGGCATGTCGTCCATTATAATATTTATTAAAGGGGAAATAACTTCACACACATACAATCAATATCAGGTTTTCTCATCATCGCATGAATTTTCCATTTTGACAACCTCCAAATTTGACTTAATACTTTTAACATTTGGTGTATTAATTCCTGTAGTTTTTTTGGTCTGTCTAAAAATTCACCGAATGGTGCATCGCCAAATGTTTCAGGGGGTTTTGAGATGTTCTTTCTTTTCTTTTTGAATAAAATTTTTACACATACCCTTTAATGCATCATCAGTCAAAATTAAAAATTTTCTACTTGGTTCTTTAAAAACATCCTGTAATAAATCCGAAATTGTGGTAAATGGTTCCATCCTATCATCTAAAATACATGAACATAATGGGTGATCATAACCCAAGTTTTTTTACATTGATTCCATTTAATTCGTTTTCCACAGCACTCCACATAGTCTTTTCAACCCCTGACATTAATAATACCAATTAATTCTCAAATGTTAATGATAGATAATTAAAAAAGAATAATAATATCATCTATTTCTAAATACAAACCTTATGCACTTCATTCTTCAATGGTTTGAATTTTTAGTTGCGTTGGTAAACCAAAGATCCTCCGTATTCTGTAATTGTAAATATTTAATCACATTATTCATTTATAGCAAAAAAGAATATATTAAATCTCACCAAAACATCCATCTCCAATGAAGAGTGAATATAATCAAAAGCATCCAAGACCTAACAAGAGCAATTCAAAATTCATTTAATTTGTTAGTTAAAACCCAAAAATAGTTTATTAGGTTTATGTATGGACGTAGATCAGATTTGGTTTTTTTCTACATGAATTTCAAGTATATGGCCATTTGTAAGATATAACACCTCAGTAGAATCCGCATATAGTTTTTTAATGTATATAAACAGTTACTCCCGACGTCCTTACAGGATGATTAATACTATAAAGACAAAGTGCATTCACTGCGTATATACAACCACATGCATCATCAACATTGGTAAGGAAGGATTGACGAAATCTGTTTTTAGGTCGGACAGAATTATTGCTTTGCCCTCTCAATTGCATTAGCTATAAATCCTGTCCAAACAAAAAACTACTGAACCCTCTCTATTCAAATATGTATTTCGTCCCTCCATGAAAATACCAATAAAATTCATCATATCTATTTAATTTTAGGTATGTTATTTTAGAGACTTACATGCTGTTTTAAAGTTTCACCACTTCTGAAACCGTGTATTTTTTCCAATCTATTTTTTTGATCTGTGTGAATGGTGTTTAACACTTTATCAACTATTCCATACACCAAGGAATTTCTCACAAAGAAAATGAATATATATGCTAATTAATCTGAATTGGTTAATCGCACAAATGTATATGGTGTTGTTATAAATTGCTGGTTCTGGGACAACTGGATATTTTTTCACGATTTTATAACATTTTTTGATACAATTTTATGGTATGCAACCTTATTAATACCAATTCAATCAATTCCTGATACAT